CTTGCTCCCCCGCCATAGCAAAAGGGCGGAGAGGGAAGGAGCTCCCGATCGAGGTGTTGTTGCTGCTGCTTCTGCTGCTGCTACTGCTGTTGCTGTTGCTGCTGCAGAAGGCCCTTCCCCTTTGAAATTGCTACAGACGTATTAGGGGCCAACGACGCAACGTAGTAGCAAAGGCACGAGCAAGCTGCTGCTGCAACAAGGTGCACAGACAGAGAATAGCAAGCAGCAGCAGCAGATGGCAGGAAAGAGACAGCAACATATCCTGCGGCTGGTAGCATAGCCTTCCGCCTTCAACCATGAGGGCACGTGGAGATAGAACCTCCCCCACTGAGCTTATTCAAAGCTCATATACAGCGGCGGGACAGCCATCCTATAAACAACGTTTGAAAAGACGGTAGCATTCGGCCAACACTAAAAAAAGCGATGCAAAACGCAATGGAGCAGCGCACGGCGTGTAACTCCACTCGGCTGCCTGAGCCGAAGAAGCAGAGAAATATGCACTGCGTAAGGAATAAGAACCAATAACTCTACAGAACAAACATTCCGCATGGCTCGCGCGACGGGACAGTCGTGCTGGTGCCAAACCCACATCGGCGCAAACAATGTCCGAATATGATCGTTTCCCTTTGCCAGATATGCTTACTATGACAAGGCAACGGGAAAGGGAAATTCAGCAGTGCAAAACGTGTTCCCACGCACTGTTGAATTTTACATACTAGAATTTTGCACTCAAAGCCACTTATATGTGTAATGCATGCTGCATCACCACGTGTATCACTGAGTAACCATGGTATCCAGGAAATAAGGGCAGCCAGAAGTCAGTGCTTTTCGAGTGTTCAGAAGCCCGTTTCAATTTCGTGCTGTATTATGACGATCAATGCGCTCAATGCGCGCCTTTTCGACTGCCGCTGTAAGCTGAGCCATGTGCTCATTCTCAACAATACGCGACGCGCTCAAGGACGTCTGCAACATCGCGTTTGCGAGTTCAGCTACATTTTCAATCGTTTCACTGTCCCTGGCCACTGCCTTTTCAGAGTCTAATCGGTCTTTCAGCTGTCGTACTTCAGCCCACGCCGTCGATGCAGGGTCAGGTAGATACAT